CAGATCGGTTGAAACTTGTTGAATATGTAATAATTATAGTATAGTAGCGTTTAAGTTAATCGTTTTCTAAAATTCCTTGATATTTCATATGTGATAGAAAGCTTTTAACAATCCAAATATTCATTCCATTACTTACTACTGTTGCGCTATTAAATGCCGGCTTACGTATTTTTGCGTTTGTACATACATTTTTTTGTTTTTATTGAAAGCTCGTTGCTATACATCCATTTACTGCCTAAAATGTTAACTGCCCATCGTCATATTTTTCATTGTTGGTTGCATGTAATCAACGTTCAGTGTTTCCCCCGCATTGACAGGAATCGATTCAATAAACCGATTCACCGACAAGAGACTATCGTGTAAGCACATGGCGCTAAACTTAGAGTGTTTCTTCATTCATTTACATATATGAGTTCTTCAATATCGTGGACGGAGCAGAGATTTAATATGCTACGGAAGTATTTTTATTGTGAACGCGTGTATGAAAACCTGGTATTTATAATAGATAATTTTATAGAAATATTAAATTGTGACAATCAACATTTCTTTAACTTGATAGTAAAAGGAAAGTTTTTGAGTGTTATATTACTTCGAAAATTTTAACCTCAGTGTTGACAAATTGAATATATGTATAAGAAAATGTTATTCATATCTGGAATATGAAGTACAGTGGGGATTGTTTAAGAAACTTCTGATAAAGAAAACTTCTTTTTGTTTGATTATTATAATCATATTGAGCAGGAAAATGTTGCATAACATACAATTAGCATTTATTTATATATTTGGCCCTTTTCGGCCGATTTTGGATCTTACGCATTTTTTGAAATATCAATGGATTGGGTTATCAAGTCTAAATTGGGCACCTTTCGAGGGAAGATTCGAAAATGTTTTTACCTTAAATTCGCCTGTGACACTGTAGGTACACTGTACTATTTTTATTTCTCCTCAAAGCATTAAAAAAGTTTAAGTATTCAATAGACATGTCAGAACATTCTCAATGTGACAAGTTAGTTATTTTTTGGGAACTGAACACTCATTGTCTACTCTTGCAAATTACAAATGTTCAAATATAATTTCAAAAGTAAAATTTAAATAATAAAAAATATAAAATATGCTCAAAATGTTACTATTTCAACTAATTGAAATATTTTACAATTTTTGGGAAATATTTAAATTTTTTGCAAGAAATTAAAAGGTGATTCATAAATAAACAAAGATTAATTTTAATTATTGAAAAATAAGTCAATGAGTTACTGACTATAGCACAACAAGTATTGACTTTTTCAACTAAGTAAAAGATCCTTATTTCTCAAAATTGTTATTCCCCATCAATAAGGAAACGTACTTAAGTTACTAGCTTAGTATGGTGCTTCTGGCAAATATTTTCTCATTAAAAAGTTTTATTTGTGATTTACAATCTCATATTAAAACTAAATTTTAATCATTCAGTTGCCTGACTTGTCCGTTATTGGGCATAGAAAGTTACGTAAATAAGTATTGAAAAAATTATTTGTTAAATGTTTTGTTTCATTACAAAATTAGATTTAATTACCTTCAGTGGGATGAATTGAATTCTTAAGATTCATATTAGTACTGGAAGAAGAGTGTAGTAAATCACACCATTGCGCCATCGTACCTAACATGCATTGATATCCGATACTGTTATATTTATCTTGCTATTGATACTGCATGCTACTTTGTTTTGGTATCGGTTAATGAATACGTACTTCATTTTCATTATAACATGTTATTTTTTATATCACACAATTGTACTAGTCTTCTTCTTTAACATATAAGGAGGGTTCCATAAGTTTCTGGCCCCTTAATTTCTGTTTTTGATTCAAAGAAGAAAATTATGTAACTTCATCCATTTGTCCAACCCAGTTTTGAAACCTATATAGTGTAAATTAAAAAAGAAATGTTGTTATTATTATTATTATTATTATTATTATTATTATTATTATTATTATTATTATCTATTTGTTAAATGAATAAATAATGTGTTAAAGGAAACAGGGAGAATGTAGTGAATTTTGAGTTAAGTTGTGCAAATGTTTACACAAGGTGAATGAATGTTAATTGATTCTTGAACATTTTCCTTATTGATCCAGATCTAGCACTATAATAAGGATAAAATAAATGCTTATTGTAGTTTTCTTATAATTACACATTTACTCTCATGATTAAAGTCCAACAATGTAAATAAAACCCAAATGCCTAGTATTTTTTAACAGCGATTGCTAAAAAAAACATTGGAGAAAAATATTAATTTTTTAAATTCATGTGCTATTGTCAATTTTTTTGCCAAATGTATGAAAAAATATACCACAAAAACTAATATCTCTATGTACAGACATATCGAAAGGAGGGAAAAATTTTGAGAGATAAGTAATGGAAAAAACAAATTAACCTTTGAAATGCCAACGATCCCAACTGAGAATACACTTGAAATAAATTATTAAAAGTATTGTTTTTTAATATTTAAGTAATCTGCTCCTATTTGCTCTTATATAATAGTGGAAATTAATTTTTAGATGAATATTTATGCACATTTAATAGTTTTATATCTGAATTAATGTTTAAAATGAGGTTTAGAAGTTTCATTGAAGCCTTTTTGTAATCATTTTCTTTTTGTTTACAATAGATTTATTGCTTATTTGACATGTAGATTTTTTTTAGTTATTCAGTAGATAGTGAGAAATAATACAACTATGCCCCCCCCCCCAAAAAAAAAAGATTTGCAACACTGCTACAATTTGACAGTTTTTACAGTTGTTCCCAGTAGGGAACATTGACCACTTCTCGCTATTAAAAGTTGTGCAGTTTTTGCAGAAACTGTTGCTCCTTGACTCATTGGTGTCTTTTATGAATTATACGTTCTCCAATTTATTGTATTTTCTATAAGCTAATTACTGTAGTATCTTGTTCTTTTAGCCTAGTTGCCACGGCCACATTCATTTGCAGTATTTATTTTATTCTTGCAGTATTCATTTTTACTTGTGTGATAAGTGTGCAAGTTATTTTATATTTGTTGACTACCTTAAATGTATAGTGGGAAAAACATTTAAAATGGGTGAAGAGCCTATCGATTTTCTTTAAGCATTGAAAGATTCAGACTTGTCATATCTTTCTGATGAAGAATCTAAAATTTGCCAGCTTTCTCCTGAAGAAAAGCCATTTCCATGTTCATTAGGCCACTTCCATGCTGAAATTAGGTTTTATTATATTTTTAAACTTATTTCTAGTTCACATAAAATGTAGGCTTTCACGGCCAGTTTCTACATAATTAAACGTCCCCTGGTTTGTAGGGCGTGGTCTAATGGAGACTGGTCCATATATTTTGCCTGCAACTGTGGCAGGCATCATCAGTGGTGTTGCTGGTGGGGGCGAACGTGGTGCTGCCAAGAACACTTCGCCCCCACCAGCAATGCCACTGGTGATGCCTGCCACAGTTGCAGGCAAAACATATGTACCAGTCTCCGTTAGACCACGGCCTACAAACCCGTAAACGTCTAATGATGTTATTTCTAGTTGGTTTCCCATTTAGTAATATTTTCTTTAGTTTTCAATATTCAGTAAATTTTGAAATACATTTTCTGTGATATAAATAAATTTTTAAATAAAAATTCTATGATATATTTAGTTGTATTAACTTTTGTGCGGCCCTGAAGCCTAGATAGATAGATTAACAATAGGTGACGTAAAAATCATACTTAAATTTAAAAAACAACAACAAATAGTTAGTTGATTTCTCAAACATGAAAAATTAGAAAGTGAAATATGTTACAAAAACACCAATAATCGATTTGCTAATAAATTCTGTCTTAAAAAGTTTAACCGTACTTAATCACACTTGCTATTGTGTCACCCAAAGGTCACTTGGGAGTGTGTGGCACCATACCGTTTATTTAAATACCTACTCTCTTTTAATATTTTATTAAATTATTTAATTATATGACCTTTGTAATATTTTCCCAATAGTATGGCTCATTTTTGTACAAACTTTTATTAAATAAAGAAAAGTTACACATTATGCACGATTGCAATGTATTTAAAAAATAAACAACATAAAAACAAGCAGTTTATTATAATTTCCATATCATATGGAGAATGTTAACAACTCATCATAAATACTAGAATTTTGTGTTAAAAGTACATAAGACACCTCTGTCTTAAAATCATAAGTCCAAAACCAAAATATGAGAAGCATCGACAACAGTTACATAGTATCAAACACTTTCTACCCTGTAATTGGGTCTTTTTCTGAAGCTTTTCTAAGTATTGAATTATATAAAATAGAAACTGCATCACAGGGCAACCCCTGGTGAATTACCACTCATTGTTAGTGTGAGAGTTTGTTTCAGTATTGGAATATGAACACTGCAATAAGAAAAATGTACTCAGGTGAAATTTAGTTCTGAACATGTAATTATTAATTCTAAGGATGGATGTATAATTTGATCTTATCTAATATGAAGTGGTAGAAAATGTATAGCTAATAACATCGGGTTGGACCCATGCACTTTAGTTACCATATAAAAAAACCATTAACTCTATTTCATTAAGAGCATGCCAGTTGAATTAACAGATAGTAAGTATTTGTTGTTTTGTTTATCAAAATACAAGCATGTTCTATATTCAAAAAGATTTTAGTAGAGTATGGCCATTTAATGTTAATGCCCCAGAAGCAAAAAACTGATGAAACAGCAAGACAAGGTTTATGTATTGTTAATATTATTATTAAATATTATTTCTCATATTAGCAATTATTTAATTTTTTGAGGCTAGAGAATTAATTAATCAATTCACATACAAATTCTTGGTAAATCAGTGATTGCTTCACAAAAAACTGAGTTAGCAAGCATCTTTGAATGGATTAATAATAACTAATCACCCACTGTAAATAGATTTTACTGGTGTTTTTTCTGAGCATTTGAAATGCATAAATGACTACCTGAATTATATACTATACATAAGTGTTTCTTAATGCGTATGCACTGCTATGCCAATGTCTGGAGTTGGATGTTTTCTGATTCCAAAATTTTGTTGTAGACATGCCGTGAAAATGTGATGGGGCTTAGCAATGGCAGCAAATCCACTGGGTCATGCAGCCGCAGGGAACGCAAAGCTGTCAGACAGCCAGGATCTTTGCGCAGGCCAAGGACAACTTCTCGGGCACAGGATTCAATTCTTATCGCATCTGCACCTAGGATGCCCTTGATGCATGCAGCAAAAGAGGTAAATTGATTCCTGCAATGTAATTTGAAGATTAGTACATGTCAAGGGAAATAACTATTTTGAGATTCTTATTACAATATTAAGATAAGTATAATAAGTTGTTCGTATAGTAAAAAAAGTTTTCCGGAATCTTCATTTGCATTAAGTGTACTTTTATAATGTCTTAATTTTTTGTTGTAATTAGGATGCTATAAACTTTTATTTAATATTGCTTTCATTCAAAAAATATATAATGAGGGTATTACTTGACTAGCAAATTTACTAAAAATAAAAGCATGCTTATATTTACAATGGAGATACCCAATTAAATAATATGTTTCAATTATGTTATGCGAAGGACATACTATATTGTTGTACACTTTATTTTTTTCTATTCAAATGATGTACATTACACATCAGTTGTTACATCCACCTTCTCAACATAATCACCTTGTAGCTGTATGCACTTATGTTATCGATGTGTTAGTTTCTCCAGACCTGCCTGAAAACATTCTTTCGGAGTGCTTTGTGCCCATATCTTGACAGCTGTGTTCAGTCCTTCAAAATCTGCCAAACAGCAACCACACAGAGGTTTCTTCATGTTCCCGAAGAGGTAACAATCATTTCGAGTATGGTGGGTGTGGCAGCTCCAGGAGTCCCATTTGATCAATGACAGCCATGGTCTCTCAGCTAGTGTGGGGGCAGGCATTGTCATGATGCAGAAGCACACCTTTAGTCCATTTTCCTGACCACATAGTTTGAATGGCGCGATGTAAGCGCTTAAGAGGTGCCACATATGCTGCACTGTTAATCATGGCCTTAAATTCCAGCCAGTCAATGAGGATTATGCTCTGTGTGTCCCAGAATACTGTTGACTTTCCATTGCCAACTGATGGCACTGTTCGACATTTCTTTGATGGTGGACTGTTCATATGCTTCCATTGCATTTATTGTTATTTCATTTGTGGCTGAAGGTAATGGAGCCATGTCTCAACACCAGTCACAAGCTTAGCCATGTAGTCTGCTGGATCTTGATCATGGCATTGCAAAAGTTCTCTGCACATGTCAATGTGCCTCTGCTTTTGGACTGCAGACACGAGTCTTGGCACCCACCTGGATGACACCCTCTCCAACTGTAGGTGGCCGTGCACAATCCGCTGCAGGGTGTTTCAGCTAATTCCCATGGCTGCCTCCAATTCCATAAATGTGATACATTTGTTTTCATGGATGGCTTGTTCAACCTGGGCAATGTTTCTTGGTATTGGCACTGTCACATTCCTTCCAGAACAGGTTCCCTTGTTCACTGATGTTCGCCCTGTTTTCCAACCTTCTACCCAATTGTAAACTATTTTTCGTGATGGCGCATGTTCTGCACTGGTCATGACTTCTTTCCATAGGAATCAAGTGGTATGACACTGTCCGTGATGGTTGCTTTCCATGTTGTCTGCTCCTACGCTTCAGTGTTGTTATGCAATTGCTATGACGAGCGCATTCATTGGCCCTTGTGTGTGTGTTGCTATCTAATGGCACAAGATACAAGGATCACCTTTTATGAAGGTTATTTTGATCTGTTTTGTTGCAGGTGTCGAAGATCAGTGAAGAAAGCAAAGAAAATTGGCAGATGTCTCGAACTCCCCTGCCTGCTACTGCATCTTCTACTGCTGCTCCTGTAGAATCTATACCAACATATGCACCCATGGCTGCCCCTGTCATGCCCTTGCCAACGCTACCTGCAGCTCCTCCTACACCACCTCCCATTCAACCTGTGCCAGCTCCTGCTTCCACTGCCCCTCTTCCACTGGAGGATGTAGTTTTCCCTCCCACACCTCCACCCCCGTCTTTGGGAGGTGAAGAGCAAATGAATGAGGATAGTACAGCTTCTATTGGCACACTGCCACTGTCATGCAGAAACTCAGCACCGGACCTCACTTCTCTCTTAGATGAAGATGAAGAGGAGATAAAAAATAGTAAGACTGTTTCTTGAGCAAATTATGTCAGCGTTTCTGTTTGTGTATAACATGGATGAATTGAGTATGTGGAAAACTTAAGTATTTAAGCTGATATAGCCTTGTTAAATTCCTTTTGTGTTTAGAGAACTTACCTTGTAAAGATAATGTTCACACAGATCTTTGTTTCGGTACCCCACAGGAGAAAAAGTACTCTCGTCAAATTTAAGAGCACTAATGCAACTTTGCATAAATGCATAATGCTGCAAACTGCAGTTATTTGTGATGCCACCTTGTTACAATTTTGTAACAAAATAAATTTTCTTAGATGACCATGGAAGGTGTTAGCAAGGACAAAAATTAGGCATCACATTCAATTACTATATTTATCCAAATATAATAGGAGTGAGTTAGGAGTTATATTTTTACACTGTGTTTCCAGGTCTCTAAACCTGTAAGTGTGACATAACACTAAGCTGACAAGACGATAAAAAATCACGTGAATTTGTAATACAAAATTATATTCACGGTCGCATTCACTGTGAATTTGCAGGACTATTCCGATCAATATTTTTGAATTGACCAGTAAAGAGAGAATCTCAAATGAATGGCATTGTGTCATGAAACACAACGTGAAAATGAATAAAAATTGTTTCCGAGATTTTGTTATACAATGCATATTACGGATTGGTGAGGCTACACAGACTCGGTTCAACGCCTGGCAAGTTCAAATCTTTATTTTGCAAGAGATAGAAATTACAAAATTCTCGTTAAAAGAAGTACGTATGCATTCTAAATCCAACCTCAAAAAAGATAACAAAAGATGCTTTATGAGCAAAAACTTCCCAAATTTGGAAACAAGCCGCTATCTCCATTACCAGTGAAACAGAGGAACAGAAATGCATGTGTTCACAACTTCATCACACAAAACATTAAGTGACGCAAAATTTAGAGTATATCGTTTTATATTTATTCTGTTAAAGAATCCGAGGCCGAATAAGAACGGGGCAGAAGAAAATTTGGTGACATGGAAGGGAATTACATAGGTGGCATTATTTGAAGGACTAAAAATGTAAATTCATTGCCCAAAACTTTTAGAGATATCTAAACAGACAGAGGATGTCACAGAATGGGAGGAGGGCCAAAAAGAAACAGTGATATAAATAAAGATGAAGAGAGTACTGACAAAAGCCATGATTATAATTTTAAGGAACAAGAAAATACTGTTAGCTCAGGCAAAAATTAAAACATTAAATTATAACTCATTGAAAGTGTTTAAATGTGTTTACGTGTGACTTGTGAGACCTGTCCTGATTTTTGCATCATTGTATGGTTTCCACAGATAAATATTGAATGCACAAGGATTGAGGCAATGCAACATAAGTTTTTTAGAATTGTAGGGTTGAGGATGTGCCTACCTGATCCATTTATTGATCATGAATATAGTTCCATTGCAAACACATGAATTTCCATTACTTAGATCTCTGAGAAACTTTGTTGATTCAATTTTTTTTGTATAACTTATTACAGGCAATATCGACTGTCCTTTACTTCTGAAAAGGAATAACTTCAGAGTTCCCCCTGTTAAAACCACATGTTGCAATCTCTTGTGTTTGCCAAATAATCCAATGTCAAGAACGAGCAATTTATGCAATCAGTTGACAATTGATCATATTCTCAAACTGTAAAGTGTTCGAAGAACTTACCTTTAGAATTCGAGTAGTAATGTAATTTGATAGAGTTTGTAACATTATTTTATATTTCTATTTACAAGGTAATGCGCCAATATATTTTGTAATGACAGAACGTTTGTTTGTTCAGTAATGACTGCACGTCTGTGTATTCAATAAATTAATAAATAAATAAATATTCTCATCCACAAGTCGATTTTCTAGTCAGTTAGACAATTTGCTATTTTATTGTGACTAAATACTGTCGATTCCGGTTATAATGAACTCGGATATAGTGAACCCTCAGTTTTAGTGAACTTAAGTCACTGGTCCCGTTTGGCTTGCATTAGAAATAAACTTAAAAAGATTCTGTTATTGTGAACGTGAATTTCAGCTACAATGAATTATTGAAGGGTGTCAAGACTGCAATATGATACTTAGACACACAGGACATTGCAGAATCAAGTATGGAGAGAGCACGAACTCTGGAGAAGGATTAATTTTTCATAATATAATTGAGGGAATAAGTGATTTTTGAAGGACAAATAAAGAGACCAAGAGAAATTATAATTAATTTAGATATAGTGAACCTGGAAGTTCACTATAACTGGAGTCTACTGTACTAAGAATTAAATTAAATATTTAAAAAAGTCTCAGGTAGCCTCTTCGAAATTAGGGGGTCATCATATATTCAGTCAACTTACATTTGGGTAAATATGATAATGTTCTTTGTTGATGCAGGTCATAGACTGCTTATAACTTAATGTGATGTGAGAGAAAAATAACGTGTTGAAACGAGCAAGGATAGATTAATTCTAGCAGCATAACCAGCGTTGCTCTTTCTGCGTTGTTTAGAAAAATACTTGCATCAGTGAGCGGTGGATACCTGCGTTTTCAAATTGTGGTATTTTTAGACCTCATGGAATAATATTATTTGTTTCTGCTTAAATTAAAAAACAATACTGATATTTTGTGGATAAGGCTATAACAGCATTTTTGTTATGTTAGAGGTATATTGAGGTCTCCTATTTAGGGCCTATTTTATTCATTTTCAATAATGCTGATTTTTAAAACAATTGAAATATCTTTTTGCGGCCTATTTAAAATATTTTATGAACTTCTTTCCAATGATTTAAGCTATTCAATGTTGTATAGAATGTTTTTAGATACAACTTATTAGTTCAATACTTCATATTAATTTATTTCATTTTTGATTATTATTATTATTATTATATATAAATTAATTAATTTAACTCTAATTCGAGCAACTGGGATCCGCTGGACTTCAAGTCAAAATTTAGACGTAAAATGAAGTCAGGACAATAATGTACTTATCTAGTACAGCGTAACACTTGATTGCAAAACTCAGAAGTGGAATCTACAGTGTCTCACAACAGTTGAATCGTTTATTTCAGAAACCGATCAAACGCAAAAATCTAAAGCATGCATTAGCGATGGATTATTGTTCCAAGAGGATAGACACATCGTTTAGTGCATGTTTATATGAAAAATATTCATTTATCAACTGCTTTAATAAATAAATATATTTTGGAATCAGATAAATTGGGAGACTTTTTCTCAGTTTTCTCGAAGTAAGGAATTTGGCATTTCATGGGTTTCTGAAATAAACGATTCAATTAATTACAAAAATGTTTGCACCAATAATCATTAAATGTTTATGCATGATAATGCTTTAAATTCAAGGTTGAAGTAAAGGGGATGGCAGAGATTAGTGTACTGTCCAGCAGAATATTGCATATCATATGTTGTAAATGCAATCCATGGTATATGTTTTCTGTTGTTCAGAGCATAAGAACTGCTTAAAATAGTGCTTGGGTAAATTAATGTATACATGCATGAATATTTAATTTTGATATCAATAAACTCATGAGACAGCAACAAATAAAATATTTTAAATAAAACCATCTTTAAGGAGACAGAAATAACATAGTGTACGTATAATATGTAACACCTCTCACGTGGCCAGCTGTTTTTTTATTTCCCACATTTCCGCTATGTTAAGAGAAGTAATATGTGTAATAGTTAATAAGATTATTCACTTTAATTATTACAGAATAGATTTATACGGACTAAAAATATATAAAATATGTATAGTTATTTTTTATCAAAGTATGGAGTTAAATATGGACTTAATATGATGATAAATATCGACAGTAAAATAATATTTTATTGTCAGTTGATAAACCTTTATCTTTAAATTTTGAAATTTAACTTCTGATTTTACATTGGCTGACTGTGCTACTTTTGATATTTCACACTGACTTAATAGATTATTATAACTGAACCAACCCATAGTATTTTGACTGGATCGTAACCAATTATGGGGAGTTGTATATGTTGAAGTCTGTTGTCAAAGTCTCTGTGACATGCGAGTTCTGGGTGGCAGCCTTAGAGTGAAGGAGAGGGGGTAGTGTGGATCTTGAAACGAGGTGTGTTTCACACAGATCATTGAGGTCTCAAGGTCATCAATCAAATGAATCCAACAACGGTGGCGATGGTGTAATGGTTAGCATACCGGACTGTTGTACCCAAGTTGGCGGGTTCAAACCCGATCGAAGCCGTGGATTTTTAAGGGCGAAAAAGTCCTTCATTAGCCTTCCCTCAGAGGGAAAGTAAAGCCAGCTGTCCCATGTTAGTAGATTGACTTGCATGGAAAAGATCCTCAATCCTAAATGACGCCTCTGAGTTAAATTCAAATTGCCTGTTTCTCGCCCAAGTAATACCTCCTTTCTCTGCTAGTTGGTGAACGGAGCGTAGCGAAATTTGCGTGGTCAGACGGAAGAGCAGGCCTGATGGTCCGAGTCTCGCCACGTAAAATAAGGCAAATTCAATTCAATTTAAAAAGGTCGTTGCTTCATCGTGCCCCTCTTCACCCCGCGGGAACCTCAGACCCCTCAGACAGGTTCTCATAAATTAAAACTTAAACCTTTTCTAAACTTGTTCTCCCATTGTCAATTCTCCCTATTTTTCAAAGACACTCTAATGTTTAAGGAATTACTAAAAATGTTTAAGTTATTTTTGTTGAGATGCATTTTTAATATATAAAGAAATTTCACTATTAATCTTAATATAGACTGATTTGATGACTGAAGAAATATGGAAAATTTATGGACTTCTATTCAAATATGTACCAAAACTCACAATATGGAAATTAAAAGTAGCATTTTTCAACTCTACCCATTGTGAAACATGAAGATAATGCAAAGTAGTATCCATATTAGCTTATTTAGTAAATATGTATTTACATAGAAAACCGTTCCCTGATTATTACATTTGTTTTCGTTGCATTAACTTCATTTCCTTTTCTATTATCCTAATTGAATCAGTGATTTTAAAAAGGATTGGCGATTTCAAAAAATAGTTAAATACATCCCCTATGAATATCTCTATTTCTACCAGAAAGTTTTGATATAGCCACAGACATGAGTGGAAATTGATGATGAGTAGATGCTGATATTAATTTAATAAGAGTATTTTTCATGTCCACTTAGCACAATATGTTAATTCACATCATTATATATTTATTCTATTATATTGTTTCATATGTCCAAAAATAAAGAAAAAGAATTGTTGTTTTAAATATTTCATAATTATTTTATAAAGGACATAGTCCAGAGTGAAAAAACAGTTCTGTACTTCAGAAATACAAATTTGAAATTACTGAGCAGCCAAAGTAATCAATAATGACGAGTTCTACAACTTTTGTGTAGGACATAAATGTGCCAAGTGTGATTAATTGTTTTTTGTTTTTCTCAGAACTAGGAACAAGGACTTATTGACATTTTCAAGTCACTGATTCAATTGAAAATAACTTTTAAGGGAAATAATGAGTGGGCAATGACTTTGTTATCTTCGACCATAATAAACAATTTGCCTTTTCACAGAAACTCTATCATGTGGTTTTGGAGCATTACCTCCCTGTGTTGAGCAGCCCATTTCCATTCCGCAGTTTTGTCCTGGTCCAGGTAATAATGTTTTTCATATAATTCCATTCTAATCATTCTAATTGCATTGATAAGAAAAATGTATTTATTTGAATACACAGACTGACACCTTTTGTTGAATTCAAATACAAATTCATATAGCAACTGATTACTTGCCTTACAATCAATAATGAAAACTAGAAAACTTTTCAAATGTTACAAATAATTTCAAATACTAAAAACATTCTTATGCACCTTATTAAATTAAAACGGAGAGAGTCCCTACAGCAGCCTGCTGCCATCCTGAATGTCAATTTGTCATGTACTACTCCAATTAAACAGCAATATTACTCTGAATTATATACGTTAGTGGACACCCCTTGTGCGAACAGGTGAATCAGTGTTCACTCGTGCACTCACACTTTGTCACAAAAAAAACAAACTATTTGAGGTTTAAATGTATTACTGTAACGTTTTAAAGTGAAATCAAGTACTAACTTCATATGCGTACAGCATTGGAAAGCTAGGCAGATAAGTGTTTTTGAAATTTTTCCTCATAATTTTGCTGGGCTTGCTTAGCTTGTAGTAACAGCAAGACAAGGCTACAGCTGTCAATCCTTATGCCAAGACAACTCACAGATCATAAGCTATATGCATGGGAGCTTTTCTCATTGGTTGGTGAATGAGGAATGAATGTCATTGCAAGGGAAGAAATTTGTCTACATCATAGGACCCTGAAGATGGAGAAAGTATGAATATCCCAGCAACTTTCATTATCCCCACTCCAAGAAAGTCAAAACTGCTTCATTAGCAAAAAAATTATGTTATAAAGTTATGGACCGTTTATGTAATGCTCCTGGTAGAATGTGGTTATGAAATAATTATAGACGTCATTGCCAACAATAGTACTATTACTATTGTTGGCAATGACGTCTATAATTATTTCATGAAAAATGCCAACGATAACGCACCACAACACCTATAGAATGTGGTTACTTTGGAAGATTTGAATTGCTAGTTGTGGTCATACAATGGAGCCCTTTGGAAACTCAATTCATAGAAAGTGACCTGGTTGAAAATATAACCTTTCAACTGTTTTACTTTCTCACACTTTCCTTCAGCCTTACATAGAGATTTACTTCTCTCCAGGCTGGGAAGAATCACTTGGGTGGTAGGCAATTCAAAACATAGAAGCTCATCACGTGAGCAGGGCATATCTTTGTGTACTTCACCTCGATTATTTTCATGCCTGTATTGATACCCAAGTCTACTGGTGGAGCAAATAATGGGGAAATAATGAGTACTACTTTCTCCCTAATAGTAAGGTATTAGTGCGTGAGGCTGTGTAAGAAATTGTGAAATCTCCTGTAACTTTTCCTTGCTATCCACTCTTGTACATCCATTACTCTCCACACACACACACACACACACACACACGCACGCACAAAGACGCACACACAGGTGCATGCATCATTCAGTATGTGTTTTGAATGTCTAATTTTATTGTTGTACAGCTCAGGCACCTGAGGCACTAAGCCCTTCAGAGGAACCTAATGAAGAAGAGGAGGAAGACGATGAAGAGGATATGGCAATTGACAGCCTAGAAGATGATGATGATCTAGAAGTAGATGCTGATGCTGATGCTGAAATAGATGCTGATACGGAAGCTGATGTTGATGTGGATGCAGAAGCAGATGTTGAAGATGGGGAGGATGAAGATGAGTTAGAAGAAGATGAAGAAATGCAAGACGCAGATACTGGGGAGAGGGGAGATTGTGCTGAGAGAACTTCAGGAGAGGAGGTGGCCACTAATTCGGAGCCAGAAGAAGAATGGGAACACTTTGATCCCTATTTTTTTATCAAGCATCTCCCACCGTTAACTTTAGAGATGCGAGCTCGCTGTCCTGCATTGCCTCTGAAAACTCGCAGCTCTCCTGATTTTTCATTGGTACTTGATTTGGTAAGTACATTCAACAGAATTTTAAATTGGTTTCAAATTTATTTAATGATACCCATTAGGCACAGCCCCCTCTAAATAGCTAAACTGAAGTTCCTTGAGTTATGGAAGTAGCTGCCAAAAGTTACGTGCCATGTTTCATTTGTTATTTAAAAATTCACCACCATTCAAATTTTACACACAATCTGTTTCATGAGACGCGTTTGATTTAATTTTAGACTAATCTTTTCAACTGTTAAAAGTGACTGTTCATTGAGTATTCTATATATTTACCAAATTGAGCAACTTGAGTAAGCTTGTAATGGTGAGAATCTTCACAGTAAAAAAGTTGTTTCTGGGGAGGGGTATGCTTGTGTTCAGTATTGTCAGGGATCTTATTCCTTTAGGAAATCAGTTTTGTCTTAATTATTCTCTATTACTGACTATTAATTATTATTTGATAGATGTTCTACCTTTCAGTCCATTACCTAATGTAGCTTGCCAGACTTATTATGAGCAATCATTTTTGATCTTTCACATTGTTATTCCCATTTAATGATTTGACATGAATTCAAAGTTTTACTCACTATTGAACCATTGTTCTAATAGAATGTTATCTTTGCAGGATGAAACACTAGTACATTGCTCTTTGCAAGAATTGGAAGATGCTAGTTTCAGCTTCCCTGTCCTCTTCCAAGAATGTTCTTATACTGTGTTTGTGCGCACACGGCCCTTTTTCCGGGAATTTTTAGAAAGAGTTTCTGGCCTGTTTGAAGTAATCCTGTTCACTGCTAGCAAGCGCGTTTATGCTGACAAATTACTGAATTTATTAGATCCTGATCGCCGTTGGATTAAGTGAGTTTTATTCATAGCATTCCTCAAAGAATTGAACACCTATCTTTTACATCTTGAAATCAGTGTGATATTGCTGGTGCTCAAAATATTGTTTTTATACAAGTGTACTTTGTCACTTCAATTAATAAATTTTAATAAATATGAAGCTTTAATTGCATTGTGAAATATTATTTAATGGAAACTTCCAGATACAACATTGTTAGTAGCATGTCATTAACAAAATAACGGCCGATAAATTTGGATTTTTTAAAAATGAGGAAACCAAATGAGTCTGAAGTGTTATATGCCCCAGATGGCGGTTATAAACTATGTTGTTATTAACAATGTTGTTTTAAAAAACTTATATTTAGAATATAAAATTATTGTAGTTATTTATAGTTTAATTAACTCGATAGAAAAATTTAATTAAGTATTTGATCTGTTGTTTAGGTACCGTTTATTCCGAGAACACTGTGTTTGTGTAAATGGGAACTACATCAAAGATCTGAGTATTCTAGGACGTGACCTATCAAAAACAGTCATTATTGACAACTCTCCCCAGGCTTTTGGATACCAAGTGAGTATAGTCTTGAATTCTATTAGATTCCAGTGTAAACAATGTTAAATGTTCAAAAGATTGTACTAATAATGCATCTAATGTAATGCATTGTTGTATTTTAATAATAAGTTTCTTGGTGGTTTGGCAATGTGAAACACAATATCTGCTATAATTCAAAATTAAAAAAATTGTAGAAGAAAGTATAATTTTGAAGAACCTGGAAACAGTAGAAAAGGAGTCCAGAGTTCGTTTTGTTTGTTAGGCAGTTATGGACAGGTTTTTGTGGGTCCACTCTGTGCAAATGTTTAATATTTTATTTTATCTTATTTTATATTTTCTTTACTCTTCATTTTATCAATTATCCATTTCATCCATTCGTAAATAAATTATTATTTTTTAAATTTATTTTGAGTCGCATTGACGGCTAAGGTTGTTAATGACTAAAATTTACAATTTTCTTCACTCTTACGTCACAAATTCCCGAAACTTATACTTCAATCACGGCTTTCGTATCATCAGTACAACAGAATATTGCTTCCTCAAAGAACTTCAATAATAAAGTCACCCCTTGATATGTAGCAATTAAGGTAAGCAGTATTTAATATGTAGAGAACGGATTGTCATGTAAATATATAGTTTTAAAAGTATGAGATATTTGCATTGCATTAATTTTGTTCCTGCATTTACAAGTCATTCGGAATGAATTAAAACCATGATTATTTTTACATACTTTGGTGTCAGTATATATTTTTACATATTTAACCTATTACTACGTATTCCTTTCATACTATCGCTACATATTGTAATATATTCACATGTCAAATCAAAACACCTCAGATATGAGGTTGCTAATATATCGTTGTGAAGTTTTCTTTCCAACAAATAAAGCTATGTAATATTGTGCTTCTGTGACACCATACCTTTATTGGGCATTGTCAAGACTAATGCCCATCAGCAACCTGTAGGTTTTCTGTATGAAAATCGCAGTTGCATTCAATTTCTCTTTCATCTCATGATCACAATTTGTCATGTCAATGTGTTTGATACCAAATATATATTTAACATAATATTCATTGATATGTATAATGTGTTATATAGGTGAGTTATTTCAGGTGGAAAAAAACTCTAGCATGTTCCTCGAAATGTTGCGAATAAATAATTCGTACTGGTTTGTTCTCAGAAGCTTATATAAACCTTTTTCCTTCAATTTTCCAATTTCATCTCTGCTTGGTTTGACACCAGAACAGGTGTGTGTTTCCCAAACTCAAAGTGATGTTGAAAGACCCCGGAGATGATTAAATGCATGTTAAGCAAATACACTACAATTCATGAGAATTGTATTGAGGCAAGCTGGCAGTTTCATGTTATCAGAGGACTATGTGTGGTTCCAGGCTGTTGTAAAATGCACTCCAGTTCCATCAATTCACATATTTATGTTTTTTTTTTTGCAAATACTTATAAAGATCCTCAGCACTTTGACTCAGTTTAAGGTCAACCTTCTGAACATTAGAGAAGAGAGAGAAACTGCTCTGCAAAATTGAAATGTTTGTCAGTAAAATGATATAAGAAATGCTTGTTCATCTCATTGAGGGAAAGAGGTGGTGAGTGTGTGTGTGTTTTTCTCCCTCTCACCTGAAATGACTTTCCCTTAACATCTGTATGCAATTAGCATCATCTCAGAATTAAAATATTAAATAGATTTGCTATGTAAATGTGATGTATGTATTTGTAAACGTTTATGAGATAGTGTGTTGTTTGTTTTAAAATAAATACACATAAGTATAAATAATCAAAAATTACATTTTGTATTACTAAATCTAGATAATGCTAAAATGGTCGTACCTTGTTTGAAACTGTTATCTTTTAGAAATAAATATATATTATTATTATTATTATCATTGGCATATAGACCATTACTGGACAAGCTACACGATTAACGTGTGTAATTTTCCAGGATCAGCTTTTCAGCTGTATCCCTTGATACAAGGTTGTTGAATTATGAGATGATAGAATACCTTGAAGTGTGAATTATGAGATGATAGGAGGATGATGAGGGGGAAGGGACAATCACAAATACAACCATATGTACGCAGGACTCGAACCTGCAGACAACGGCTGCCGCAACCGTCTGTGCTATGGGGCCAACTTATTATTATTGTTGTTATTATTATTATTATTATTATTATTATTATTGTTGTTAATTATAATAAGTTAAGTGTATATAAATTTTCTATAATACTTACAATTCATTATTATGTGGTATTTATGCTAATAATACATTTTTGTTGATGAATATTTTAGCATAAAAATAATTCCATTCCTTCATAATGTACTAATATTAAGGAAAAATGTATATTGTACAGTGGAAAAAATATTTTACAAGACCACTGTTACAATTTTTTGGATAATGAATTTTCATAATGATTTTTCATAATCATTAGATATTGATAACCGGATATTGTTAATCACAATTTTTTTAAGTTGAGACTGGCGTTTGGGTTTTTGAAGACAAGGACACATCAGGCAATATGACTCAGTTTTTCTTGATAGATACTAATGATTTGAGTCAAATATTTGTGGAAGGTTGTTTTGGGTTCAGAAGCTAAGAAGTGCTTCATGATTCTGTGCAGAAATGCAGCCATTTAGCATCCCTGTGCCATATGTGTATAGATTTTTCTCTCTCTCTCTTTTTTTTTCCTTTTTTTCTTTCTTTCTTTTTTTTAAATATAAAGTAAAAAAATAATGAGATCATGTTATTATGAGTGTGTAATCCAAGGGAAAATGTATTGTCATCTCTTGAATTTACCACAATATTTATGAAAATTTGCTACACGCTTTGGGACGTGTTCGTTTTTCAGATTAAGACATAATGTGTAGTGTAATGCTTTACTCTCTCAGAAGAAAGAATCCTTGGGTAAAGGTAACATACAGTTAGCTTTAAAAGTTATGTGTTTATCAAAATTTTAAAAGAAATTGGTGAATCGTGTAAAGTTGCTGCTTAAAATATTTATTCAGCCCATTCATATTATTGAAATATGTCATTATTTTTAATTCTGTTTCTAAGAAAAGTTATTTGTTTTGTCTTTCTTTTGTTTTTTAAACTCTCAAACTTTTGATTTATGCACTGATTCTGTTTTTCCCATTCAAGAGCTCAGGCGGGCAGGTACGCGGCTCACGGGCGGGAAGCGCTGCACAGAATGGGTGGGGTGGGAAGGGGTGTGCAGAAACAAAAGTCTCTTTAGGCAATTCTGTCCACTCTTCTTAAGAAACAAACCTGTGTTTATCAATTTATTAACACCAACTTAACTATAATTATTATTTAACAAGAGTCTGCTGAGAGACAAATCAGAAAGATATCTCGTGAAACATTACTGCCAAGCTATTCATTATTTATAACAATAATGTATTATTATTATTGAATCTGATTATTAAGTAAATAAGAAAGCCTTAATAATATTATTAAAAATACCAATAAAACATAAATCTGTAGTAAATAAATAATTATTTAAAATAAATAATAAAATATAATTTCCTTAGAATGACAAAAAATGGACCGACAAGTAAAGTGACCTCCATTTGCTAAGAGACAGGCGTTTACTCTTTTTAGTATAGTGGCTGTAGTAGGTTGAAGACTAACAAGAGCAGAATAAGTGCAGTTTTTTTCTTTCAACTAAAATTAGCCACATTCTCTCACTCCGAAATCTGAGGGCACGTGGCTGTAGGTCGTTAAAAGTGAAAGGGAAAGATATTTAATGCGTTGCCAAATTGCCAAAGCAAGAGGTGGTGTGTCCAGACATGGGTTCCGAGTTTAGCTAAAGACCCTGTATATTACATGCTCAGAATTCAGGTTGTCCCATGGTCTTCCCCTCTTGAAATATCTGGCTGGGATAGAAAAACGTCTTTAGGAATACTTCCTTCTTTCATTCTACTCATAACCATACCATGTTAATTCTTTAAGTTCCAATGTGGTAAAAAAAATAGCCTGCCTTTGCCGTTCTTTGTCCTTTATCCCTTTCGGTGTTGTATTTGACAGAGATTCTTCCTTGAGATATTTCTACTACAAAACAATCTTGTAAATAGCCAAGATCATTCTGGGAACAAAATAATGACTTAAGTAATCATCTAGTCATGTCACAATTTTACAGATTGAATTGAGTCCAAGGAGTGTTATTGCTAGAAACACTATTCCAAGATAAAACTTATTTAAAACAAATTTTGGGGAAATTTTGGATCACTTGTCTAAACCCTTTATTTCAGGTTGAAACTGAAAATGATAGAGATTATGGGGTGAAGTAATAATGAAAACATCTGATATAAATACAAAAAATTCACATTGATGACAGAGGTTACATTCCCACTTGTTTGTGGCCACTTTAACTTATTAATTGCCCTATGAGGAAACTATTCAAGTAATATTGTTTGCTCATGAGATTCACAAAGGTCTGTTGGTGTATTGCGACTCATTACACATTCTTTTCCCATATCTCCCTATGTATCTTATTATTTTCTGATCTCTCTGTTTCATTTAAACCCATCAAATATAATTCTTTACATAGGTGTATGTCCTGCAGAATGTCTGATAGTTTTAGTTATAAAATAAGCACATCAAATTCTATTTTCTTTGATCTGAGCTAGCAATTTGGACTTGCCACATCCTCTTGCCAGCTGTCATCTATCACCACCCATAGTACATTTTTTCAAAATTTTCGCATTTTTCCGGTTTACTAATTGTGAAACCGAAATATTACTTAAAGAATATTTAAATAAAGTAAAACTCATCCTAAATGGCAATTTTCATTGAAAAATCTAGAGCCATTTTTTAAGAAAAAAATAGTGTTTAAGTGTTACCATAAATGCAAAATTTCAAACTCTTTTTCACAGAAAACATTTGAGATTTCAAAAAACTTTATTGGAAGTAATTGAAGCACATCAACTCACAAATGCAATATTGTTTACAAATTGCTTGAAATGAGCATATTAACAATGCAAGACATTGAAAAAATTTACTTTTGTGTAAT